GTCCAGGTTCATAAGGGGATAGGCACAAAGATGTTCATTGTGGTTGCAGGCTAGAGGCAACTGAGTCCCCCTCACTGCAGAAACAGGTAAATAAAATGTGGTGGGTAAAATACTGCCCAGCATTCAGAGACAGTACTGTCCAGCATTCAGAGACAATAAACCAGTGTTACATGGAGCAGCATCAGTGAATCCCTAAATGAATACTTATTTAAGAATACAAACTGAATGAAGAATGTAGTAAACTGTCATGAATATAAATTAAAAAGCAATGCATATATAAAACAGTTCCTGGAAACCACATTTATCCAGAAATATCTGTGAGCTTACAGCTTAAATACAATATAATGGTGCTAGTAGTGAAGAGGCTGCTAAATAGAGTTAAAATGAAGGATGAAAGGAAAAGTAATGAAATGGGAAAAAAAGAGATATATTTGCATGGACATTTAATGTATGTGCTATATACTAGAAAGTTTTATTAACTTAACAACCTGCATCTGAGATTGAAAAAAAATATGTTATGTAACTATGCTTGTGCTTTGTAGTTTAAAACAGGAAAAATTGTAATTTAAATCAGGAAAAAACCCCCCAAAAATATATTAATGGTCTCCTTGTTTCTTTACTGACTATTCCAGAACTTGCCAGGCTTGCTTTATTTTTTTAAGGAGACTTAGGCCCTCACTCCATTATCCTTGGGGATCTATACCTATCCAAAGACACCCTTCAAGACACAATTTAAGTTCTACATATCTATAAAAACTTTTACATTGTTCCACTGATGTAAATGTCTTTCTGAAACCAATCCCTCTAAGTCTTAATGACATAAAATACATTGTTCCTACTGCTCCTCATTATGTCTTCCACGACTAGTGGTTAACTTCCTAGGGGCCTGGGAAACATATTTGGAGCTTCCGGTGGGAGAGAACATTATTGTGTACCTGGCAGTATCTCAGTAAGTATTTGGATTCATAGATTTTCGGTTGAGATTTGGAATTGTGGTGGCAAGGTATGGGCGGTGGGGTCACACCCGAAGGCCAGTAAAACGTCTCCTTTTGCAGCTGGAGATTAGTTTTGAGGAGGACGAGGGTTCCTTCTGGAGAAAGACAGGATCATCATTATCACCCTGTCAGCGAAGTAGCCCTCCAATCAATGAAGGAGATGAACTTTGCTTTAGGTTCCTCTATTTTTTCTTCTCTTGTTGTTTTCTTCTTCAGAACTATCACTAAAATTTCCCTGAACACTTAAAGAATTTTGTTTTTACTTCAGTCTACAAAATAAAGCTAAGAGCCAAATCAACGGTCTCCCTCAATCACTATTAAACAGCTCCTTCTCCCCACCTGTAAGGGAAATAAGGACACGTATGTAATACCGTAATCAATCAATACTTTTTAAAAAATGAGTTCATACATTCAATAATTGTAACAAGATGATAATTTTCAGAAGTGCTGGGAGCCCAATCCTGCAGAAGAAACTGGCAGGCATGGTTTAGAGAATTAAGATTCACAGGAGTAAAGACTACCCAAATACCCCTTAAATAGCATATCTGAGCATTGGCTTTACATTCCAGGCAACTAGAAGGCCAGGTGAGGAAGGAGGTGAGGGATCCCATGAAATTGTCATAAGGTAGAACCAGCCAGGTCAGAGATTACAGCCAAGCTGCCATTAGCAGTATAAGCAGTGGTGAAAAATGTAGTCTCTCTGAGTTATCTAGAAAATGAAGACTTTAATTCTAAAAAAATAAAAATTACAGTAAAACCTTAATATAACAGACTAATTCAGGTGGGGGGTATCCATTAAAGCCTAAAGACCATTATGTAATAAAGTAGGTTTTCCAAACACATATGTTAAAAAATGGACAAATTAGTTTATCTGTTTTCACTTATGCACATATGTTTGTGTAGTTAAATTAAGTATGTATGAAAAGATTGATTTTACTAAGTTTTCTAGATGTTTTGCAGTAATTTTATTTATTTATTTAAAAATATATTATTGATGTTTTACAAGGTGGAAGAGAGAGGGACAGAGAGTTAGAAACATCAATGAGAAAGAAACATCAATCAGCTGTCTCCTGCACACACTGCCTACTGGGGATATGCCAGCAACCAAGGTATATACCCTTGACTGGAATCAAACCTGGGACCCTTGAATCCTCAGGCTGATGCTCTATCCACTAAGCAAAACCGGTTAGAGCTGTATTGCAGTAATTTTAAATTTAGAGTGAATAAGTCTAGTAAATGTGTGCATTCATACCCTGGGAGTAAACAAATGCACAGAGTGGGGCGTGGTTTAGCACATGTGGGCCTTTGGGTTAACACTGCTGCAGAAAGTCAGGCCATGGGACAACAGAACCAATTACCACTCCAGATGCAGTGTGATCACGTATTAGTCATTCCCAGAACACTGTTTACAAGCACTACACTTAGACTTAAATATGTAGACTATGGTTGTAGATGTGCAATATTTTCTAAAAGTTGTTCAAAATAACAGTTCATTTATAACAAAATAATAACAAAAACATCCTGCGAATTTAATGATAAGGAAGTCTTGGTTAAGAGCATTTTAAAATTAACAGGGTGTTAATTTTCACATATGAAATATGGTCCAGAAATTTTGTCCATTAAATCCAAAGTCTGTGAAATCGAGGCTCGCTAAATCAAGGGTCTACTGTGCCTATTTGTATAACTGTTTTTAAGATTAAATAAGTAAATATACGAAAAAGACCTAAAACGTGTCTAATGTGATTTTTAAAATTGTGATCATTATTATTATTTTGTTGTTACGACAGCTTTTATGCCCAATAAGGTGTGAGCCAACCAACTGAAACTCTATCTTGACTTCAGTCCAAGAACTTGTAATTTGTAAACTGCCTCTTTATCTGGCTTTTCTTCTATGTGTGCTTTTTTTCTTCCTTAATTTTAAAGTTGCCGCTCCCCCAATTCTAACTTTGTCTTAGCAGCACCGAGAAAAGGGCCTTTCTACACTCAGCCTGGGATGGGGGTGGGGAGGGGTGTTTAGTGGCAAGCGTGATTGCGGTTTGGCCAGCTAAGGCCAGGGGCTCAGATTTCAGAGGAGCAGGAGAACGGGAGCAGGGCCTGGGGAAGAGCAGGAGTCCAGACAGGCATGGCTGAAGTTTCCCTTATAGGACTGCATGTCAGAGAAGGACCAGACCACATTCAAATGCACTTAGCCACCTTCTAGTAAGAGCTACTGTCCCCCTGAAAGTGTGTGTTCATAATACTTTATTTGAATGTATTAGTACAATAGGACTTGTGTTTCCTAACGGCTACTTAAGACAAGTACTATTTGTAAGTTACATACCTTTCACAGTAAAGAGTTAAATGTAGCCGGGACCGGTTTGGCTCAATGGATAGAGCGTCGGCTTGGGGACTGAAAGGTCCCAGGTTCGATTCCAGTCAAGGGCATGTACCTTGGTTGTGGGCATATCCCCAGTAGAGGGTGTGCAAGAGGCAGCTGATCGATGACTCTCATCGATGTTTCTAACTCCCTATCTCTCTTCCTTCCTCTCTGTACAAAATCAATAAAAAAAATAAAAAAAAAATAAAAAAAGAGTTAGATGTAATGTCAAAACTTTGCAATGGAGCAGATTAATGCAAAAATCAGTGTAAGATTTGTTATGAAAATAATATTTAAATATAATTTGACAATTAAATAATATGGTTTATCTCTGCCACAAGTTTTCTAAGAAATGTAATCCTGGTGAAATGTGTTAAACTATTCAGCAAAGGTTTTAGCTGGTTTTGAAGTTCCCTTTGCCAACAAGTTAGCTGCACCAGCCAGTGCCAACAGGTGTCCGCAGTCTGGCATGCAGTGTTAGAACTAGAGAAACTCACCTCCACGCGGGAAAGGCAGTTCTACGCCATCCCGGGGGATCCCCAGTTTCAGGTGGAAACCCTGGGAAGACCTCTGTGCCCTGAACCCTGCTGGGTCCACTTTTATGCAAATGAGAATCTATATTCGCAGCTGGATAGGTCTGGGTAGCACTGTCCTGATTGGTCAGAACTGCACATCGTGACTGGTCTTTCCAGAGCCACCCTGAGTGGCCAGGGAAGATGCACATATGAGCTAGGGCTGAAGGGGCAGCACCTTAGGAGAGCCCTCTGCAAACTGCCTGCTAGATCTCATTATTCTAATTGGGCCCAGTTAACCACAAGGGGTCCGTTTTGGCAGGCACAGTCCTTCTAGGAAGTCTACACCTTCATTCCCAGTTGGTTATGACCGACAGCAACAGGCCTCATTCCTCAGGTGTAGGTCAGTGACCCCTATAACTTAGCGCGCGTGCTACCCCATGATGGCGCGGCCTGCAGGCTCCCTGAACTCCGGGGTGCTCAGATGGAGGGTCAGACTCAGGTGAGGGAGCTGTTTTCAAGTGCTCCCTCCCTAAACCTCAGCTCTGCGTCCCGCACAGGAAGTGGATATCTTAGGAAAAGGCGGCTCAGTTCAGAACGCTGTGATAGCTCTCCCGGTCACCAAACCCCTGCGCCCACAAGGCGGACACTGGAGAGGGTGCCGCCGCGTGCGGGACGTGCGTCTGGCTGGCTGGTGGGTGCACCAGACCTCAGCGGGGCGGCAGGGAAGGGAACGGCACGGACGGCACGAGGCTCGGGCGGTGGGGAGCCCATGCGGCGCCCAGATCGTGGGGGCGGGAGGTCGAGCTGTGCGGGCCACAGGGCTGGAGCCGAACAAAGGCAGAGCTGGGCGGCGGAAGGCCCGCCGCGGGGTCAGGTTTAAGGTCGCATCGCCGGGATCCCCGCCAGCCAGCCCGCGGGAAGCTGCACGGCGGCGGGAGGTGCTCCCAAAGCCCCGCCCTCCGCCAAGCCCCGCCCCACCAAGCCCCGCCCCCAGCGCCAGCCAATGGGGGCCCGGGATGTTAGCGGGTGGGAGGCGCGGCCGCGTTGCTACAGCGAGAGCCGGGAGCTGGGCGGCGGCGGGCGCTGCCCGCGGAGTGTCCAGGAGCCCGCGGCGGCGGTGGCGGCGGCGGCGCGATGGAGGGACCGGAAGGTGAGGGGGTGCGGGGTGCGGGGCGCGGGCCGGGCGGCTGGAGCGGGCCCCGAACAGTTGCGGGTCCTGGATACTGGTTCTGAGGAGGCGGGTCCGGTCCGGAGCGGACCCCGCGCTGCCCCCGCAGGCCTGGGCGGGCGGGCGGGCGGGAGCCCGGGAGCCCCCGCCGCTGTGGGACTGGCGACCTTCGGGCTCCCCCTCGGATGGCCTTCCGCCGAGGTTTCCCACCCGCAGCCCGGCTGGCCGCCGGCACACGCCTGCGAGTCCCGTCCGACCATTTTCTGGTCTCGCCCGAGTCCCGCGGTCCTGGGGGCGAGCACAGCCTCCGGCAGATTCCCTTTTCCTGGCAAAGGGGCCCCGCGGTGCAGCCGCGGCCTCCCCGCCCCCGGCGTGGGCTGGGCGCTGGGGTGGGTCTCCCTTGGCGAGCTTGTGGCCCTCCCCTCGGCCGGCGGTCCTAGGGCACCGCTTTCCCATCGCCACAGCATCTTCCCCGGGAAGGATGCCAAGAGCATCTTCCAAGGAAGTGTCACCGGCCAGCGTTAGAGCCGGGACAATGGATGAACAGGAGGAGTTCAGGGTTTATTCTTCCCCACGCGACTCGTACAGAGGAGCCAACATTGATTCCTTATCTTGGGGCTTATTCCTCGTGCTGTGACCATGATTCCAGATTTTCCTTTGTTTCCATTTCTTTCCCTTTCCCCTCACCTCTATTCATTTTACCCTTTTTATCTTCTGTAATACAGCATTTGCCTAACAACAACAAAGGAGAAAAATACCCAACTGGCATTGGCAACAACAGTTTCAAAACCCTTTTTCAAATTGTGGTTAATCCTTCTGATGAAGTATTAATTAGCCTGGGGAATTGAAAGATTCATAGTAATGACCTGAAGGATGATAATCAAGAATTCTGATAAATGTCTGTCTGTGGGCAGCTGTAGTATATAACACATGAAGGTCTTGTTCTTTGCTTATTTAAGTCATGGTAGGCAGATCATTCAAGTTTCTATGAAATAAAAATTACAGTGACCATACTTACTTTTAAGACACTTTTGTTTAGAGGACTCCAAGGACAGTTTAAAAAAATAACTTTAAAAAGTAGGTAATATTATAGTGTAGTAAGAACTTGGATTCTGGGATTCTCACAAGGTTATCATAATATGCATAAAGTGCCTAGGACAATTTTTCTACAGATTTTTATTTTGAATAACATTTATGTTGAATAACATTTGTAATTCAGGCAAAGATCTTCATTTGATTTTTCACTTATATGTGTCAGGCACCTAAGACAGTGTCTGGAACAAAGGAGGTAACTCTGTAAATACTTGTTAGATAAGTGACTGTCTATGATAGCACTATTTTAGACCCTGAGATGTAGCCCATCTCAAAAAAAAAAAAAAAAAAAATCAAAACCTTGCTCTTTTTGAGCCTACATTTTAGTGGATATATATATATATATATATATATATATATATATATATATATATATATAGAGATAGCATTTAAAAAATATGTTTTTATTAATTTCAGAGGGGTAGGGAGAGGGAAGAGAGATGGAAATGTCATTGATGAGAGAGAATCATTAATCCGTTGCCTCCTGCACGCTTCCCACAGGTGATGGAGCCCTGACTGGGAATCAAGCCATGACTTCCTGGTTCATAGGTTGATGCTTAATCACTGAGCACACCAGCCGGGCAAACGTTATATTTTACAGTGCCAAGACATTACTATTGAAATCTTACTAATAAAGCTTTTAAAATATAATGAAAACTTATTATAATTCTCAATTACATGGGTGGAGAAATACATGAATTCTGATGCAGTATAGTAGTATATTATGGGCTCAAGTTTGATGCCACATAATAAACAGCATTTGCTCTTTACTCTTCCTTTGATGTTTTTGTTCTTTTCATAGGGCAAAACAATTGAATACTCTTTATTTCAAATGGTTTAAACTAATAAGTTGAAGTTACGACAGTGCCTTTTTTTTTCTTTTAAAAAAAAATCAGTCCCTTTTAAGTCACGCTTTGCAAAGATCAAAACTTTGAGTCTTAAGGTTACCACTATGTCTTCATTTAATAAATATTGATAATTGCCAGATAATTTTTTTGCTATATTGGAAGTTAATGTGTAGCCCCTTGGAACTGTCTAATAAGTATTATATTGCCATATCCAGTAGAAAATCTTAGGAGTTTGCTTAACATATCATAGTAATTGAGCAAATATTGCACTGTTGGCATTAGACCAATGTTTCTAGTTGAAATCAGTTACCCGGCTAATCTTGATGGTATAACCAGAAAATATATGGACCCCTGAAAAGTTTCGTTGTCATATTCTTATAACTTTTTTTGCATGTGCATCTTTATCACATATTATTTTTTGTTTTCCTGGACCTTTGTGTTTCTGGGAGTGTCAAGAAATGAGCTATGTGAACACTGTATTTCAAAACCGAATACCGATGTTTCCTCATGATTTTTTATAAATTATATCTGAGCACTTTTGCATTGTGTGGATAATTAGAGCAAATCCTTTACTTCTTCTTTACCTAAATCTTGTCTAAGGGCATGTCTAAGGGCAAAGAGGTAGTTCTAGACTTGGGACATTTCCAATTTCTCATCAGCTTTTCATCTGCAAAGTGGACAGATGATCAACCCTAAGCAGATTTTATCCATATACTAGTGGCCCGATGCATGAATAAAGATTCATGAAAGAATGGGCCTTCGTTTCCCTGGCTGTCGACACCACCTTCGCGCTGGCCTGAGCAACCTTTCCTCTCCGGCCCTGGCCGCTTTCTGCCTCCCCACTGCCTAGAGGCCTGGAGCAGCTGGGGTGATGCAGAACACCTGTGTCATCACCACGGTGATGACAAAAGCATCCTGCCCCATCCCCAGCTACTCATTGCCTGTGTGTGTAAATTAACCCACCTTCTTTGTTTGGCTGGTGGGTGTTGCGAAGGTAGGGTCAGTTAGCATGTTGCTCTTTTATTAGGTAGATACAGCATTGTCATTCCTTTCATAACACCTTGATAAGAGGTTATTAACAACTGGAGGCCCGGTGCATGAATTTGTGCACCCATGGGGTCCCTCAGCCCTGCCTGTAGGGTCAGGCTAAAACTGGCTACCTGACATCACCTGAGGAGTCCTGGATTGTGAGGGGGCACAAGCCAGGCCAAGGGACCCCATCAGTGCACGATTGGGGCCAGGGAGGGACTGAGAGAGAGCTCCAGGGCATGTCTGGCCCCATCTTCACAGTCCCTATCGGGGCTGATTAGGTTGGCTGGCTGGGGAGGAACGTGGGAAGTTGGCCAGCTAAGGAGGGACTGCAGGAGGGCTCCAGGGTGTGTTCAGCCTGTCTTGCTTATTCCTGATTGGGCAGACTCCAGCAGCAAGTTAACTTACTGGTCAGAGCATCTGCCCCCTGGTGGTCAGTGTATGTCATAGCAACTGGTCAACTGGTCGACTGTCTGCCCCCTGGTGGTCAGTGCATGTCATATCCAGCGGTTAAGCAGCCTTATCATGTCATTAGCATATTATTACACTTTGATTGGTTGAATGGTTGACCGGACACTTAGCATATTAGGCTTTTATTATATCGGATTGTGCCAGAGACGAGGCTGCCTTCCTCTTTGGACTGCTGAAGGCAGTAGATCTTGGTGTACTGTCTCAGAAACCTGATGAGTTGTCTGATTGTTCTTCTCCAGTGAAGCCCAGTGGAAGACGCTATCCTGTCTCATCAGAGTTCTTTTTTGTTTTGTTTCTCCCTAGTCTAAACACACATTAGGTTACTGACCTATTCTTACCTTTAGTAACATATCTAGCATTCTTTGCTTTTTGGTACTCAGTTGGATGCTAGGTATTTTAGTAACCAATGTGTTGGAGAGGCCTCTGTTTGGATCCCTAGCTTTGTTTCTTTTCTTTTCTTTTTCTTTCTTTCTTTCTTTCTTTCTTTTTTTTTTTTTTTTAAATATACTTTATTGATTTTTTACAGAAAGGAAGGGAGAGAAATAGAGAGTTAGAAACATTGACAAGAGAGAGTCATCGATCAGCTGCCTCTTGCACACCCCCTACTGGGGATATGCCCGCAACCAAGGTACATGCCCTTGACCGGAATTAAACCCGGGACCCTTCAGTCCCCAAGCCGACGCTCTATCCATTGAGCCAAACCGGTTTCGGCCCTAGCTTTGTTTCTTTCTAGCTCTATGATTTGTACCAATTAATCTGAACCTCATTTTCGTTAGGTATAAAAAAATGGAGTTATTAAAAGCCAATCTGCCTGAAGTATATTAATTATTAAATTACATAATATATACAAAGCATTTAGCGAAGTGCCTACTACATAGACCCCTCAGCACTTGTTTATTGGGTGGACAAAACCTCAGGAGTGTGTTAGGAGTTGTTCAGTATAGCTAAATCAGGGCGCTTGGAAGTGATTGGGGCAATCCCACTAGTTAACCAGTAGGAGAATAGTAGGAGAAGGGACAGGCTGAAAATACATATGTGATGAGAATTTAAACTAAGAGAAAAGTAGCAGGAATTAAAAAAGATAGACTAGAAGACATTTTCTGAGCTGAAAAGATGAGCTATGACTGCTGGATGTGAGAGGGAACAGGAATCAAAGATAAAGCAGCTTTCTAGCTTGGACTAAGAATTAGTAGTACTATCTTTAACCAAGAAGGAGGCCAAGTTTGGAAGATGAGGTAATGAGTTTATGGCTTTCCAAATGTTGTATTGTGCAATACTTTGGGGATATCTGGTGGAAAAGTCTCATAGGTATTTAAGCATCTCTCTGAAGTTTTTAGTTCAGTAGTCATCAGCATATTATAGAAAAGATAGCAAATGGATGCATTCACCCGGGAAAGCTATATTTAACGAGATGAAGAAAGAAACTTGGGCAGAACAGATGCTGTAGTTTGAGCAGGAAGGGAAATTGGAGAGGTTTAAACATTGTTAAGAAAAGGCAATAGAGGAGAAACTACCCTGTTTCCCTGAAAATAAGACAATGTC